TCAATTTTATAATTTTCCTGTTTCTGTTACATGTTTATTACAAATTAGTTATTTAACCAAACGATAACATTTTAGTGAAGAAACACTTCAGGCAACCAAAACCATAGTTTTACACAAAGAATTACCCCAATTATCACAGGGATTTCACTTGTTAAATCTCCAACCACAAGACTGAGACATCCAAGAGTATGATAATTTTCAGTAGAAATAAAATTGGACTTGATTTGTCCTTGTAACTACAAAGTTAAAAAAAAAAAAGAAAGTTATATATACTTTTATACTCCACAAAATCACAAAAATCAGCATAAAACAGTTATAAATGTATTTTTAAATAGAAATGTTATTAAAAATGTTTTATCATGGTAACCAGTAGAATGATCTATGTTTTACATTAAATATAATTTTTAAGAGGACAATATGGTTTTGTTTTGTTACCTCTTTCACTGTATTGAAGTCTACATTCTCAATCGCTGCATTAAGAAAGAAAAAACGATAAATTTATAGTGTTAATCTATAAAACAATACAAGTCACCTCTTTTGTGACAAGGTGAAATTAAATAGATATAATCTGGTTCCAAGAACACTCGTCAAGGCTAGGTGCAGTGGCTCATGCCTGTAATATTAGCACTCTGGGACGCTGAGGCAGGAAGATTGTTTGAGCTCAGGTGTTCGAGACCAGCCTGAGCAAAAGTGACACCCCATCTCTACTAAAACTAGAAAAATTAGCCAGGCATCTTGGCATGTGCCTATAGTCCCAGCTACTTGGGAGGCTGAGGCAAGAGGATCACTTGAGCCCAGGAGTTTGAGGTTGCAATGAGCTACAATGACACCACTGCACTCTACCTGGGGCAAAAGAGTAAGACCATCAAAAAAAAAAGAACACTAGTGAGAATTCATAAGACAGTGCTGATTTTTCAGTTTTGCCCCTGACCAGTGATATAAACCATGACTACGTGTTATATGAGGGCACCAGTTAGTGCCTCTCTATACCTCCCCTTACCACGTTTCTTCCCACCGAAGTCGTCTCCGTGCTCTGACCCTCCCACTCCCATTCAAGCTCTGAAGTCTTGCCTGTAAAGTGTCCATCACTTCTCATTCCTTCATTCAACTGTATATCTTAAATCTTGCCACAAACCAGGACCTAGCAAAAGCCTGGCACATCGATGTTGTAAAAATGTTTGTTGAACACATGCCCTGAATCAATTCCTCAAAAAATCTCACCTGGCTCAGAGGGACATATGGTCCATCCTTCTCACTTAACACATAGTATCTGATAATCACTCTGCACTATTAACACTTATATAGTCATTTCCATCTCGAGGTTCATCCACCCCATCAAAAAACATTTATTATTCTGCTAGTGTATGTCTCCTGTCCCCAATTAAGCTGTAAACTACTTGAAGGCTATACCCAAATTATATTTCTTCAGATACTGGTACAGCCCTAACAGAGGAGAATAAGTATACTCTGAATACTCTGAATAAAAGTATACTCAGTATCACTAAATACAAGTAAATTAAA